GGTGAAATGTAATCAAGCTGTTTTGAGTCAAACATGAAGACAGTCATTCTGTGCTGTCTTCCTGAAGGATGTATATATAGCCTATATCCTCAAAAAATCTCTCTCATGTCAAAGAATTTGCATAATGATAAATCTCTGAGAAGGTGCTACCAAAACTACAAGCTGTCAGGGCAATTGGGGTAGCTTAAAGCACAAGATGGATTTTCTGTTTTCATCTTTTCTTAGCATATCTGCTGTTAAGCAGCACACTTCTTAGGTAATTTGAATGCATAAGGACTAAAGGAAAGCATCATGTAAAATAGAAGAGAAAATCTGAATCTAAAATTATTTCCTTCTTTTTTGAAAAAATATCACTGAATCACTTTAATGTAGAATTTCTGCTTCTACAAGTTTATCCTAAAGCAATAAGATATATATGAGTACATATGAAACTGTTATTGCAGCATTGTTTATTATTTTGAAAATTTGAGATCAATGTAAGTATGTGCTAATGATTAAATAATGTGTCCTACAATATTACCTTTCAAAAGATTGAGGTTTGTCGTAGTTACTTTTCTCATTGCTGAGACAAAGTTAAAGGAGAAAGGATTTATTTTCAGTTCATAGTTGGCTGCCTCCAATGCAGAGTGGCATGGCAAAGGGTCATCAAGGAGGAAAAACAGTCCATGGCAAAGCAGGGCAGGCAGAAGGCAGTAAGCAACAACAGCAATAGAAGCAGCAGCAGCAGTGGGGGCACCCTGCCTCCCTTTTATCCTTTCCAGGTTGTCCAAATTTGGGTGGTGCCACCCACACCCAGGATGGGCTTTCCTTAATCCCAGCATTACATCCTTAATCCCAGAATCATATGCTACATTAAGCCACCTCTGAAAGCCTCACCTATGACTGCAAGAGGCTTTGGGAGGCTATCTAGATACGGGCCATAACAAGGTTCATTCTAGTACCAATGTGGAAAAACCTCTGAAATAATAAAAAGAAAAATTAAACCACACTTCTGGCTTCTGGCCTGGCATGCAAATATCTTTGAAGCACCACTCCATCCCAATAAAGTTTAAAAAAAAAACTGCATAGATTGATTGATTCTCATTCAGTTAAAATATTTCAAAATTTCTCTGAGATTTCTTCTTTAACTTGTGTTATTTAGAAGCATGTTCTTTAATCTCCTAGTATTTTGGCATTTTCCAACTCTCTATTCTTGATTTCTAATGTAATTCCACTGTGATCTTACAGCAGACATCATGATTTCTATTCTTTTAAATTTAGTAATATGCATTGTATGGCCCAGAATGTGGTCTGTCTAAGTGAATGCTCTGTGTGAGCTTGAGAAGAACTTGTAATCTGCTGTTATTTTAGAAAGTAATCTATAGATTCCAGTTACCTCCAGTTGATTGTCTACTAATCTGCTGAATCTGTCCATTTCTAATACCAAAACAAAGACATTACAGACCAGTTCACTTTCATGAACACAGATGCAAAAATACTCAACAAAACATTAGCAGTGTGGTTCCAATAGTGTATAAAAATAATTCCACACCATGGCTAAGTGAGACTTGTCCCAGGTATGCAAGGTTGGATTCACATTTAAAAAGAAATGAATGGACTGGGGGCCAAAGCTTGGTGGTAGAGCACTTGCCTAGCAAGCATAAAGCCTTGGGTCTGATTCCCCAGCAGTGTTTAAAAAAAATCCACCACATAAATAGGGTATAGAAGAAAAATCACGTGGTCATATTGATAGATTGAAAAAAAATTTTACCAACTCCAACATGCATTCATAATAAAAATTTTCAGAAATAGAGGAATGGGAGGCCTTCCTCAATTTAATAAAAAACACATACAAAAATTGGACAGTATCATCCTTAATATCGAAAAACATGAAGCTTTCATACTAAGATCAGGAACAAGACAAAGATGTCCTCTCACATCATTGCTTTTCAACATCACACTATAAATTCTAACAAATACAGTAAGAAAATAAAAGGTATATGGATTGGGAAGGAAGAACTTAAACTGTCTTTGTCTGCAGATAACATAATCATGCAGAAAATCCAAAAGGATTGACAAAAAGAACAACAACAAAAAAATAGTCTTGAAACTAATAGCAGCAAGGTTTCAGGATATGAAGTTAAAGGTAATCATTTTCCTATATACCAGCAATGAACAAGTGGAATCTTAAATTTAAAATACATCATTATTTACATTAACACCCCCCAAAATGAAATACCTTGGTTTAAATCTAAGAAAAGACACTGAAGTCTGTATGAAGAAAACTGCCAAACTCTCGCAAAATAAAGTAAAGAACTAAATAAGTGAAGAGATATTCTATGTCCATAGATATGAAGACTCAATATTGTCAAGGGCCCCATCTGTCTTGCAAGCACAAGGTCCTGAGTTCAATCTCCAGTATCAGGAAAAAAATATTGGCTACATAGGTGTTCCCAACTTGATGTATACATTGATACCCCAATCAAAATCTCAGCAAGTTACTTTATGGATGTGAAGTATCTGAATCTGTAGATTATATGAAGAAGCAAAACACCCAGAGTAGGCAACTCAGTATTGAAGAACAAAGTCAGGGGACTGATGCTGCTAGACTTCAAGACTTCTACAGTAACCCAGTCAGTGAGATATTCACAAAAGAGCAGGCAAATAGAATCATCAGATAAAGAGCCCAGACATAGACTCATATAAATATAGTCAGTTGATCTTTGATGAAGGAGCAAAGGCAATCTTGTCAACATGGGTGCTGGAAATACTGGATATCCCGACCTTAAATCCTTCACACACAAAACTCAAAATGAATCATAGTCCTAAATAAAAAAGGAAAAACTAATAAAACTCCTAGAATATGACACAGGAGAAAATCTAGATAACCTTGGATGCAGCAGTAACCTCCTAGATGTTAGGTGTGACCCACAAAAGAAATAATGGATAAGCTGAACTTGCTAAAATTAAAATTTTTTTGTGATCTGCAAAAGACAGTGGCAAGAGAATGAGACCACAAGCCACAGATTGGGAAAAATATGTGCGGAAGACACATCTAATAAAGGATTACTGTGTGAAGTAGAAGAAGAACTTTTAAAGCTCAGCAATAAAAAAATGAACATTGTGGTTAAAATTGGACCAAAAACCTATACAGACACACCCCACCAAATAAAATGACAGATTGGCATACAAGCGTATGAAAAGATGATCAACTTCACATGTCATTAATTAATTGCAAATTAAAACAACAGATATATTCTGATAGATTATTCACATCAGAATGGCCCAGATCCCAAACACTGACACCTCCGAATGCTGATGAAAATGTGGAGCAACTGGAACTCTCTCTCACTTCTGATGGGGATGGAAAACAGCATGGCCACTTTGGAAGATAATTGGACAGCTTCTTGCCAAACTGGTACTCTTCCCACACAATCTGACAGTCACACTCCTTGGTGAATGAGTCAGTGGTTGCCATGCACTGGGGAAAGGAGGAATGAACAAGCATAGCACAGAGGATTTTTAGGACAGTGAAATTCCTCGGTCTGATGCTGCCACGGTGGGTACAAGTCTTCAAACCTTCGTCCAGACTCGCAGAATGGGCAGTGCCCAGAGTGGATGGTAAGGTAATCTACAGACTCTGGGTGAGGATTTATCCGTGTAGGTTTCCTGATTGTAATAAATATACCGCTCTGGTGGAGGATGTTGACAGCAGGGGAGGTTTGCAGAGTGGGGAAAGTGGGTATATGGAAACTCTGATGTATTTTCTTCTCAATTTTGCTGTGAATCTAAAACTTCTCTAAAAAATAGTTTATTCAAATAGCATAGTACACAGTGATACATATGATGTCATTCTATTTATGTTAAAATATACAAATATATTACATTTTCATATGTTATATGTGTGAGGTACGATCAGAAACTGGTGAATGTCTGAATTTTTTTTCCTCATTGGGTTTATTGGTACTTCTTAGGTACACAGTACAGTTACATTCATTACTGGGATCTTGTACCCTTACATGACAGGTCTTGATTCTCATTTTTTCCCCTTGTCCCTGCCCTCCCTTTACCCCTTCCTCCTCTCCCCCTTTACAAACACTTCATTTCCATTTTTTCATTTTCTCGTATTTTTCTTTTCCCTTATTAGTTTCCCCTTACCCTTCCCAATTTCCGTACACCTTTGAATTTTTAAAAATTTATTACAGTAAAAGACACACTGACTTTAAACCTCCTCACTTCAAACACATTTAACCCATCGTTCTTGCCACTCTCTGAAGCAGCTCTAGAAGTCCTCTTTCTTGAGTGTCTTTTGTTGCCCTGTCATGGCTTCCTCAGTGCCCTAAATCGATTCAAACATTTACCTTTCATAGTCATTTTAACTTGGCACAATATCCAGAAGTCACATGTGCCAGATTCGGGGAATAGGGTGAATGAGGACACATTGCAATGTTTTTACGAGCCTACCTTTCCATTGGATGGCACTTTGCAGCGTCCTCACTGGTTTTTTGATGGCTCCTTGTACAGACACTCAAGTCTGGACAGCATACGTATTTACTTATGTAAATAAGTTAAAAAAAAAACAAACAAGCAAAAGGGCTGGGAATAGTTCAGTGGTGTTGCACCTAACTGGCAAGTGCAAGGTCCTGAGTTCAATCCCCAGTGCTGGGGTAGGGGGGAAGGCAAGAGGAGCTGCTGCTAGACATGTGTCTCTGGGTCCTTTCAAGGACACATCCAGAAGTTCATGCTGTCTGGCAACTTTAAAATAGAGTTGTAGCATTTATACTACATTTATTCATTCAAGAAGTATTTTTTTAGTAGCTCATCTGTGCCAGGCATTCTGCCAGGCCCTCAGGTTGCCAGAGTGAAGAAGAAACTGCCCTTGTGATCCCAGTTCAGGGAGTAGGAGGACCTCCTGGGGCAGGAAGTGAGAGGTGGGGTGGGCTTTTTCCAAGTGTGCCTTCTCACAGGCTGAAAAGGTTCTGCACCTTTTCGGAAAGCTGACAGTGATTCCTTTTTCTCAGAGAAGCCATGTGGAGACCCGCCTGCGTTCCCACACACCATCCTGCAGGGACGCACTGGCCTGGAGATGGGGGATGAGCTGCTGTACGTGTGCGCCCCAGGACCCTTCTCAGGCCACCGAGAAACAGCCTTCACCTTGCTGTGTAACAGCTGTGGGGAGTGGTATGGCCTGGTACAGGCCTGCGGGAAAGGTAAGTGCCCTGGGGTGGTTCCAGTGCTAGCACCTTCCAGCCGGCACAGAGCTCATACAGTGCAAGCAAAGAGCTCTGCTTCTGCTGGCTGTGGGTGGTGAGCTCTTCACCAAGATGCCTTTAAGAAGAGGCTTTCAGCCTTTCAGCTGAGCTCTGGACCTGGCAACATCTCCAACTTGGCAGTCCCTGCAGCATTTCAAAAGCAGCATATGTAGTGCTGAGCTCATCTTGCCACGAGTTAACGGTGAACAAAACCCTCCCTTCTCTAAGAATCAAATTGTCCCTTAGCTTTTTAGCTCATTTTTCTGGGAAACTGGTCCAGTGGGAACATCAAGTGGGATATCCAAGCAAAATTGCTTCTGATAAAAATAACCCTCAAATGGTAAACTGGGCTGGGAGGATTTATAATGAATACAGTGCAGGAAAGTGGGCTTCCCTGAGTGTGGTGATTCTTATATCTGTGCATGACCCATGTGAGGATAGCAAGAGAAATGCTGTGGATTACTGCAAGCAATATGGGCCCTAAAAATAAAATAAATAAATAAGTTTTTAAAATAATAAAGAGATACAGGTCTTTGGGGAACTTCTAAGTACAGTTGATCAGACTCATCCATGCAAGTACAGTTCCCTCGCACCTGAGCAGTCAGCATGGGGGGCTTGGAGGCGGAGAAGGAGACTAACTGTACCACAGCTGTGTGGACTACTATGAGGGATGTTCTACCAGTGTGAGCTACCTCTTCTGCCTGCTCCCTGGCCAGGAACCTTCTGGATATCAGGGGTGGCCCGTCAAGTCTCAATATGACTATGAAGAGTAGACACTAAATGACCAAGAACCTCATCTGACTTCCCCAGATGTCCCCATTCCACCATCACAACCCTGGGGTCCCAGGCTCCTCTTGCCCAGCTCCTTGAGAATTTTCCCAGGGGGAGTAAACAGTCTCAAGTCACAGCAGGCCCAGGCTTCTTGAACAAAGATGTTATAAAGGGCGGAGTGTGTGTGGTCATCAAGGCGCTCAAGACAGGTGGCTCCCTGCGCCCAAGCCTCCACACCTCTTGTTCCCATTGAGCTTCTGGACTCCCAGGCTCCTCACATGGCAAAAGCTGTGGCCATGAGTTCTGGCAGCTCCACCTCCAGACCAGGCCTGCTACCAGGTCCGGCTGACCGCCAAGCCCCAGGATCAACTGAGCCCTGGTCTTCAAAGGACTCTTATCTCCTGCCTGAAGGATCCCACACACTCACTCCCTGGCAGACCGAGGGCTTTGATTCCCTGAGGTCCTCCGTTCTCTCCCAGCTCTTGGCCCTGCCTCAGGAGTTGACCAGCAGGTGTTTCTATCCCTGGACATGGATTCTGCTAGAGAGCTGCTCTCAGAGCCAGATCAGCCTGCTGTTTTCATCAGGGTCTGCAAAACAAGCTTACTCCACAAGAGAGAGGCTCCAAGAAGTGGTTCCAGGGCTAGATATGAGTCAGAATCAGGCTCTAGCTCTACCTCCTCAACTCAAAAGTGAGATTCAAATAGCCGGTCTAGTCCAGGCTGTAGACCATCAGTCACCTGTTCCATTTCTGGATAGAGTTCAAATGCAACAGTTTGTTGCTTCTCCTCTAAACCTGCAGAACGATCTAGCTCAACATGGCTAACTTGCTGCAGTTCTTGGAACTCCTCTTCAATTTGCAAAACCTAAACTGCAGAGCCAGGTGTGGTGATGCACACCTGAAATCCCAGCACTGTGGAGGGTGAGATAGGATTGCTGTGAGCCTGAACTACCAAATGAGACCTTGGCAGGGAGGAGAGTAAACTGCAGAAACACACCTTGCAAGATAGATCTGAGTATGGATCTAACCGACCATGACAGCCTACATCTAGAATCTAAAGAAACCCAGATTCGCCTCCAGAGCCCCCTGGGCAAATTTCAGATTCTTAATTCTAGCTGTTAAGGCAAACTCTAGAGATTCCTCAGGTCCAATCCTTTTCACTTCATCAAGAAGCCCCAGATGAACTCTCACAACCCTCTGAAGAAATTGAACCTTCTAGATACCCAGAGGGCTGAGGCAGGAGGATTACAGATTTGAGCCCAGCCTGTGCAAAAAGTCACAAAAAATAAGTGAGTCCTCGTCTCAAAAAATAAATAAATAGAAATAGAGGTAGATAGATAGGGCAAACTGGACACACAAAAAATAAAAAGAATAGTTTTAAACTCCAATCTGCTAATGGTTAGACGTAAAGTGGATTATTGTTACGATGAAAACATAAAGGTTATCAGCCAAAGACAAATAGAACTTACATGGTGCTTATAAGAGTCATATTTTAATTATAAGCATATTTAAAAGTGAAAAGTGAAAGAATGAAAAAAAAAGCCACATAAAAACTAGCTAGTAAAATTAACTTAAAAGCAAAAAATATTACCAGAGATAAAGTGAATTTCATACAGAAGAATCAGTTCACCAGGAAGATATTAAATTCTAAAATTGTGTGTACTTAATAGCACAGCCTCGAAATACATGTATCTAGACCTAGAATTTGAATCATCTTCCACCCAGCAGGAGTCCCAGCTTGGTCTGAACTTGCTACTGAGGAGCTTCTAGGTCAGCGGTCTGCCTCAGGAGGTAAATGTTCTGCCTCCAAGTAGAAGTGAGGTTCGTCACTCATACTTACCAAACATCGTAGTGAAACCTATGGATATGACAGTGTCAGTAACTTCACAGGCACCTAAGGAGGCTCAGCCTACTCCACACCAGCAGTAGGCCCCAGCCTAGCTTCCAGAGAATCCTGAGGAGCTAGACCTTCGTTCAGCTATCTAGAGGCCCCGGCTCATCTTCTCCTTCAGAGATTAAACCTTCTCCCAGTGATAGGAGCAGCCAGTTCAGCCTCCTGTGTCTCTAGGGGAAACTGAACCTTCGGGAAACCAGTGAGAAATTCAAGCTCAGCTTGGAAAGGCTCCTGAGGAAGTCAAAACTCCAGTTGAACAAGAGTCTCTAGCTTCAGGATCTCCTCTGAAACTCCACCGCATCATGAGGTGACACTTCCACCTCCAGGTCAAGATCAGGTGCACCTTTATTACTTGCTCAGTGTTAGAGTTAAACCTGTGGATGAGGACATTACTGTAACTTCAGAGCCTGTGTCAGAGGTTGAATCTTCTCTAGCCCAGCAGGAGGCCTGCACCCAGCCTCTGGGCCTCCTGAGGAGGCTGAACCTTCTCCCAGCCAGCAGGAGCACTCAGCATCACCTTTGGGGTCTCTTGGGGAGGTCAAACCTTCTGGAAGCTGTCTAGAAGCCTTTCTGAAGAGATGGAACCTTCTTCCACCCAGTAGGAGCAACTGACTCAGTCTCCAGAGCTCCTTAAAGTGACAGTTTTACCACTAGTTCACCATCAAACTCAGCATTAACACTTGCCCAATGTGACTGTTAAACCTCCAAATCTATGGCTTACCATAACACCACAACCCACTGCAAAGGTGGGAACTCCTCCAGGCAACCATGAGGCTACAGCTCAACCCTCAGTTCCATTGAATAATGTGCAACCTTTTGCAGCCGAGCATGAAATCCCCACTGGGCCTCCTGAACCAACTGAAGAGGTTGAACCTGCGGGGGCTTTGAGCAGCTGCACTGCAGACCTGGGCTTGTGACTCAGGCCTCATGCCAGACCCTGAATTGTTCCCTAATCGCAGCAGGGCTCCTCTCACCCCCAGACTCCTTCAGGGGCTGATCCCTGAGCTCCCGTGACACCTGAGTGCCGAGTGAAGGCTGGTTCTCCAGAGGGGAATGTTTCCAGTGCCACAGTGCTACTGAATGTGTAGGATGTATCATCCTAGTGGCTGTCACAAACTGCCGCCGTGATGGTTCTCATCCATGTCATTCGGTTCACATGTGAACGTTTTTCCACTGCTTCCTAGGAGTAGAATTGCTGTGCTGGTTGGTGTACGTGTGTGTTGGGCTTTCCTGGATACTGCTGAAGAATTTCCTAAAGTATTTTGGTCAGCTTTCTCTCCCACTAGAATTCTTGTTCAGTGTCCTCATCAACCTCCAAGATTTCCATGTGGTGACTGCTCTGTGAGGACTTTAGTGATAATATATTTTCTTTTCTCTGATGAAAGTGAAGTTGAGCACTCATCACATGTTAACCCGGGCTTCAAATGTCCTCATGTCAAATGTCTATTTTAAATGTTTTGTCCATTTATTTACATATCATAGGGGTTTTTTTTACATAAAGTGTTCATCATCGGTATGTCGCAAGTATTCTTTCCCATTCTGTGACTTACCTCTTTACTCCTTGGAGATTCTTTTAACAGATAGTTTGTTTTTGTCTATTTCAGTACTTTTCTTTTTTTTTAACTTTAAAATATTTATTTATTTATTCTTTTATTGAGTTTATTGGTACATTTTAAATATACAGTACAGTTACTTTCATTATTGGGATCTTGTACCTTTACATGATATTTCAGTACTTTTCAAACTCTCTGTGGACTATTAGGATTTTTTCTGACAGACTGATACTTCAATAAAATGTCTTACTATAAAAATAAAATAGAACCCCAATTTAAACACAATATTTTAGGCCAGGCGTGGTGGCGCACACCTGTAATCCCAGCACTCGGGATGCTGAGGCGAGGATCGCT